GTTATGTTCTTATGAGGCATAAAGTGGTTTCTAAAGAATGTATGACCCAAACCACAGAGGGTTTTATAGATCAACAATTTGAGATTAACTCTAACTTAACTGGAAGCCAGTGCAATCTTTGAATCACAGATAATATGCTTTCTGGGAGAAGCTCTGCTGACTAAGTGGGCAGCCACATTCTGTATAGTGCATAACAGCAAGTCAATCTGGATATAACACAAGGCATGGATAGCTGTGGCAAAATCTACATCCAAAATAAAATTACAAAACCTTCTTGCTAAAATGCAAGTAAAAAAGCCCTCTTACTCATTACGTTATCTGAACATTCAAATATAGAGGATCCAAAATTGCAAAATTGACAGAAATTGCAAACCTTAGTGACAAAATGCAAACTCAATAGAGAAGGCACATATTACTGTACTTCTGCCCTTTCTTCTGTTTGTTATCCTTAATGTTACACCTCTCTTATCCAGGAAGATCCTTATCCATGCCCAAAATCTTTGGTACAAGCTGATAGAGACAGTAACTTAACCCACTGTAGATCTAAACAAACTGAAACAGAACTGGATCTCATCCACAAACCGAGGGCAGCAAAGCCCAAATTACCTCACTATTTCCACAAGCAGCTTGTGCACATTAAAAAAGGAGGGGCAACATAACAGAACACTGTTATATTACATGGCAAAACTATTAGGCAGACAAGCAGTTACCCTAATGCTACGCTCTGGGTCTCTCTCAGAAAAGAATGGAAAGCAACCCTTTCCATTCCTGGTCAGGGCCCATTGGCATACCACCACGTGACAGATACAGAAAAAACAGCATGGACGCTTGTCCTTGTCAACTGCCAGAATATTGACCATCACCACCAAACTGTTCTCCACATCATAACCAAATTGATAGAGGTCAAGTAAATCTGAGGCATCATCACTAGTGTCTCTACAACTTTCTAAAAAGATTCCCTGAAAATGGGAGATTAGATGCAGGGCAAAACTGGCACAATACTCAATATTAAGTTTTCTTGAGCAAGGACCTAACAACTACTTCTTAAAAAGACAGTGAAACCGTATCTCCATGCTGGACTTCTGTTGCCAGGAAAAACATAAGTTCAACTCACAATTCTTAGCTCAAAAGTTCTCTATGAACCCCCAGAACCTCAATAAGCAACATTGCCATGTGTGAACTATCAGAGGATACTGTTCTGCCATTTTAGAGATTGTTTGGTTAAAATCTTGTCTGTTAAGAGGAAAGACCGCACATCTCAGTGAGCATATGGAAGCTAGGAAAGACAACCTTATTTATCACTATAACTTTTACACATGGCAAGTTAATTTTTAAAAGACCAAAATAAAAGGTGGTGGTAAGGACAGTCCAATGGGAATTGAAATAAAAGATGTAAATTTACCATTTTAGAGTTGTACTTTACTACATAGTCAGACTCCACAAACAAAATATTTTCAGGCTTCAGATCTGTATGAGTCAACTTATTGTGATGTAAAACTACAAGAGAAGGAGAAAATGGAAATCAATATATATATATACACACACACACACACACACACTATATATATATTTACTTTAAATTTTTTAGATATGCATGCAGATATTAATA